TCGGTTCGAAAGTTTGAATGCTTTGGTTACGTACGATGAACGAACTGATAAGAAGCAGAGGCATTTTTCATAAATTTAGAAGTATATCTAAACCAGTTATGAATAAAAACCAATTTAGATATATGAAAAAAATAATTTCTTTAGACACATCTAAAATGGATTAGATGTGTGAAAAAATATTTTTTAAAAAATTAAAATATACATCTAAACCAGTTACAATGTATGACCGGTTTAGGTATTTATATCTAAACTGGTTTCTGTGGGAACCAATTTAAATAGCACATCAACCTCCCATTTATTTACAATAATATCACTAACTTCTATTTCTAAACTGTATGCACTTGAACTGGTTTAGATATGTAGGTTTAAAGAGCACATTTGGCCATAATAATTTTGAAAGGCTTACTAAAATGTTGAAAAAATGTGGAAGATAATTGAAGCTACTAAAAAATTTTCTTGAAAATACGTTGAAATTTTTGTAAGATTAATGAAAGACTCTTAAAAAAAATTGAGAATTCTTGTGGAGTCTTAAAAAAAAAAAAGGTGGAAGATTATTTGAAATCATTGGAAGAAATTTTTCCTTGAAGATACGCTGAATACTATTGAAGATACATTAAAAAAAAAAGAAGGACATTTTGATAAATTCTCATTCAAACTTAGTTCCGTTAAAGGACCTTTTGCTTTATCAATTTTGGTTCTTCTAGTCAAATATTTTTCTTATTTGGCCATTTTGACCAATTTTGGGTCTTCCTTATTTGGCAAAAGATATTTTGACCTCAGTCTACGTGTCACTTATTCCCTCACTAGAATGGAATTCAGTTTAAGTGGTGGGAAATAATTGGAACTCAGTCTATCAGTACTGCTGATGAAGACAAAGAAGTGAAGACAGGATGAAGCTTCGTACCCGTGTGTTGTTGCTATGACCAAATTGCTTCGAAATCTGCAACTTCCACTCGTTTACGATAATTATAGCTTAATTAGTAGACTCCATTATATTTGTAGCTTATATAACATTTGAGTTTAAATTTTATGAGTAACCTAGCTTCCATAACGTATACACTGGAAAGTTTTGGTGGACTTGGACATTCCTTTTGTTATTAAAATTAATTACAAGTATAGAAATTGGTCTAATATATTTATCACAAGCTATTATATGGATGATTTGTGCTTTTTCATGCTTATTCATTATTATTTATCTAACATGGAATCTATTCTTATCAGTGCAGCTAAATCTAATGATCATCTGTTTTATCAGTGCCTTTTGTTTCAAGAGCTAATGGGTCTGTTAACTCGGTGGTTAGGATGTAATGGGCATTGCGTTTAATCATACATATCTGCTTGCTCTGCCTGCAAATTTAGCATATGATTAAACGCAATGCCCTTTTTGTTCACATTTTCAGAAGACAAAACTGAAGTTGATGTTACTTCTGGTATGGTTGAACTTGAACAGGACTTCGATCGTGATGAGGTTTAAAAGTTTTCCAAAGAATGAAGATTAGGCCCTTGTGAATCCCATTTCCTAAAGGCCCTTAACGTCTTGTAGATAGGCCAGACTAATGCTCGAATATAATCTGGTGTTGCTTTTATATGTTGTTTGGCTTTTTATTTTATTTTATTTTATTTGGTATTTCACATAGGGGACAATTGATGAACCAAGCGTCCAATGATGAAGGCAGACTCTTGTATGCAAATAAAGGCCCAAACCAAAAATAGATTTTTCTTAATGAGAAAAAAAGAACAATTTCTTTTTTTTTAAATGATAGTAAGATCTCTTTGAATTATGTAATTAATATTTTAATGCATCAAAATATCATAATTTTTTTAAAGTTTTTAAAAACTTTTTTATCATTAAGAAATTAATATAAATGGTCAAAGTGTCCTTAATTCAAACATCAATTACCATTCATAAGTTTTGTTTTAATATTCTTAGCTCTTTTTTTTAATTTGTAAAAATTTAACAGCAATTCACAGGTTTGAATTAAAGATAGTTCAATCATTTATATTAATTTTTTAATGACAAAAAAGTTTTAAAACTTCAATAAAATTATGACATTTTAAGAGTTTAAAATATCATTTACATAATTTAAAAAATTTATTATTTTTTTTGAAACTGTACTTGCTCTCATTGTCATCGACGCCATACCCTAAGGTTAGTTTTATATCCCCAGTCGTGGTAGTGACTAGTGAGTATTTTATATAGTTTCAACATATCATGTATTATGGATATTAAGAATTTTTTAAAAAAAATCTCATGAAAAGTTGTCTTTTAAAAAAAATGGCCTAATTTGGAACAAATTAACACCTACAATTTCCCATGCAAGTTACTGAGAGCACATTAATCAAGATGAGGACAAAAATAAAAAGATATTTTTGAAAACTACAGAATATCCTACGTTCTCATCATTAACTATAGCTTATAGAATAAGAGATTATATATTTCTAATGACATAAAAAATATTTAAAAAAAACCCAAGCAAATTGACCACCAACGCATCTTTTCCATTTTCAACAATTGACCGCCCAAGAAAATGAATTGCAGAATTGGTGAAATTCAGTAGCTGTCGTAATTTGAGGTAATTAAGGCTCCTCGTGAGAATAAAGGGCTAAAAATCTACCAAACTTGGATGACTTTTACGAATCACAAATCCTACCGTTTGTTTGTTTTTTTTTTTTTTAAAAAAAATTGTAGGTATTGGGTTAGCCTCAATCTTTTTGAATTCAAAGTCAATTCTTCTACCAGTAATTACACCTACCTTCCCTTCTTCGGTTCTCTCTTTACATTGACTGATAATAAGGGGGGAAAATGAGATAATGCAACTTTAAATCTTTTTAATTTATTTTAATTATTAATTTAATTTTTTAAGTTTAATTTTTATCAATTAAGTCTCTTAAATGTATTTTAATAATCAATTTAATTTTTATTATTTTAAAAAATGTTATACTATTAAAATATTGATATGAATGATAGAATATTGATGGTAGCAATATATATTAATAAAAAAGAGTATTATTATTGAGGTAAAAGACAAACTACAAAATTTTAAAAAATAAGATAATAAAATACAGTTTAAGAAATTATATTATAAAAATTAAGCTAATTTGAAGGTCAATTTTTTTTATTTAGCTATATATATATATGCCAAATTACATATAATATACTTTACATATTAAATTATTTTGAGACTTAATTTATGTTTTAAAATTTAAAGGACTCACATGGTAATTTAAGAAAAATATGAGAGACCAAATAAAAAAAAATTAAAAGACCAAATCGATAATTGAGACAAAATTAAAATATTAAATATTTTATTATCCCTAAAAAATTATATTTATATAACTTCTCTTAAATAAAATTAATTTAAAATGTTGTATAAAATAAAATTGTTTTGGCCAAAAAAATAAAATAAAATTGTGAAAGAAATACAACAAAAAAATAGAAGAAATGTGGGAAAATGAAAATTAGATCCTCTCCATTTGTTATCACCTAGATATAAAAAAATTATAAGAATTTTCTATGTTGACAAGCCATAAATACTTAAGTAGTATATATATCACATAATATAAAAAATATACTCCTCCATTTCAAATTATAAAACACTTTAGACAAAATCTCACATACCAATAAACTCATTAAATACACTTTAAAATCTTACTTTTCTAAGACAAAAATATAAAATTTTAAAAATATCCTTCATTTAATATTTCACTGATAAAAAAATAATGAAGAGAGATAATATATGAGAAGGGTAATATTAAAAAAGTATAATTAATGAAACTTTATTTTTATTAAAGTGTTTTACATTTTGAGACGTTTAAATCTTTTTTAAAAGTATTTTATAATTTGAGACGAAGAGAATAATATTCAAATACCAATTAATGATGGTTGCAGCTATATTTATTGGGCTTCTCATCATATATTGCTTTAATTCTTTTTTTTTTTCCTTTTTACAGTTTCTCTCTCTCTCTCTTCCCTTTAAATGCATAGTATATATACCAGTTGGCCAAAAAACAAAATTCTGATTAAGATTTAGATTGGTGGGTGGCATAAGTTCTCTCATTTAAAGAGTGTCTCGGCACAATAATTTGTCATATAATATTTAAAAAATATCAAATTTTAAATTTTGGAGAGAATAGCATATGTAAGGAGTGTTTAATCGTAAGAAATTTTTTGAATTTATAAATGTAATTGTTTCTTAATAATATTCAAGTATTGATGAAATTTAATAGCTATAATTGATACAGTCATTGAATGAGTTAACTTAGATTACTCACCAGAACCAAATCTATGCACAACATACTAGATAGTATGAGCATTTATTGGAGCATTATGTCAAAATTATTTTTTTATCAGTTGTCAAAATTAATTTTACTCCTACATCAGATGGAGGTGAATACATACTCCTCTGATCCTATTTATAGAGTAGAGAGAAAAGAAAAAATGATTCTATTTATAAGGTATTTGTCAATTTTCAATGCTCCTTTTTACATTTTTTGCTTTATTAAATGCTTTAAATAGAAATATCAGTAATGAGATTTAAAAATATTTATTAGAGGTGAAGGTGAAAATTTGTTAAATTTTAAGAAAAAATTAATGAGATTTAAGTTTTTTTTAATTCCGGTGAAACATGCTAGAAATAATTTATAAATAAGACTAGAGGAAGTAATTTTTAATAATTTCAAAAGAGAAGAGATGTATATACATGAGACTTACTAAAATGATTAATGTTAGAATAAATAATTTATTGTTTCTCATAATTTACATCAATTTTCAAAATAGTTCTTATTGTATTTTTTTTTTTAAAAATCAAACTCGTCCTTGTATCTCATTCACAAAATTGGTCCGCATAGTTCAATCTGTCATCGAGTAACTTAGCCCAAAAGCTAATGATGTGGCATAACCATCTTAACAGACAATTGAAATACAAATGAAAACCCAGCTGAAAAATAAAAAAGACGCAGTTATGCGAGTGATAATTAATGGAAAGATTTATGAGGCAAAATTTTCCCTTTCACAATCATACTACATATGTATAAATTTGATCAGCCTATTTTTATACATAAGATATGATGAAATTTTTTTAATGAAATTACATAAATTTTGAGGATAATTTACATCAAATCACATGCACACCTCAATCTGTAAATTGTTTAAAATAGTTGCTACATGAGCAATGGAAGGCCTACATTTCCTAGTATTGCCAACGCAAGCCAAAGCAACTTTGGCTAATCTCACAAGAGGCTTCAAGTCTGAGGGAATCACCAATCTTGGGTCCAACACTTCACCATATCTCATTGCTTTTATCAATGGCACAGCCCATTTCACAAGCAACCCTTCTTCACAGCTCCTTCCACTCAAAACCTCCAACAAAACCACTCCTAATCCATACACATCACTTTCCTTACAAGCCCCGCCAAGTTTTTGATCCCAATACTCTTCATCCACATACCCCACTATCCCTCTCTTCTCTTTATTCGGTGCAAGGAAGTTTAGTCCATAGTCTGAAATTCTTGCACAGAAGTTCACGTCGATGAGGATGTTCGAGGACTTGACACACCCATGAACTATGGTTGGTGCCACAACTTCGTGCAGATACTGAAGCCCTCTTGCTGCTCCTGCTGCGATTCTCAACCTCTTTGTCCAATCCAAAAGTGAAGCCCCACTTGGGTTTTGATGCAGATAGAAGTCCAAGCTTACCATTCTCACGAACTCTGACACTATGATTCTCTCGCCGGCCGCTTCTGAGAACCCAGTGATGGGAACTATGTTGGGGTGTTGAGCTGATGAGAGCCATTTCATCACAGAGGAGAATCCAAGCCCTGCGTTGCTCAGAACAAGCGAAGGGTGAATCCTTTTGACGGCTACGAGATTTTCTTTGTCGAGTAATCCTGCGTATACAGTTCCAAGTCGACCCTTGCCGACAATTCTCCGGTGGCTGAAGCTGTCGGTGGCGGCGTCGATGTCCGTTAATGGGTATGAACGAGCACAGATTTTTACAGGGAGTGCTTCTTCGGATTCTACTGGTTTCTTTTTGCAGTAGAGGAAGAGGATTATGGCGAGGACGAGGAGGGATATTGATAGACCAAGCATGACCAAATCATAGGCAATATGATTAGGAATAAGATGGTTCATTTTTGTGAAGTGAAGAAAGTGGAAGAGAGATGAAGGACGGGGTGGGAGATCGATTTGGTTTGTCAGAGAGGCGTGGAAAAGAGGAATATATATGAAAGTGATCAAAGTTGGTGAAAGATCAAGGCTTTGAAGACAAAACGGAACATCTCACAGCGTTTGACAAAATGGTAGGATTGGTGAGAAAAGTTGAAAGTTTATAATTTGGTTAAGGTGGTTCATATGGTTGTTGGCCGTCCTCCCTCTGTTTTTTTCACATTAGATTGTGTGTTCTGATGACAAGCTGTAATATGTGACAAGCTGTCTTTTTCACTTTGATATCTATAACCGTAGTTAAAAGATTTCGCCGGGTCAATTAAATTAGTTTAATTGTGAATAAAAATCCAAAGCATAATTAATTCCAATAAAAAAAACAAGAATCATCCTTATGTGTGCATTATCTACGTATGATTGATTTGATATTTTGATGTAGTGATATAAAATAGTTGTCCTTTGGAATTTGGTCGGGTATATATGAAGCGTGGAATCTTCTGCCACATTGCTGTTCCTTAAATTCTGCAAAAAAGAAGTTATGTTAAAGGAAATGGAATCCAAGTTAGATTGAAGTTGAACAGAGAAGTGTGTTGTGATGCAGGTTTGGTGCATCCACTATGTGAGATGAGTACAAAATCTTGCTATATTCTAATCTAAAAGCCCTCGTGCAAAGCATATTTGGTTGTTATTTGTGCTTTGGTCACCAATAGTTAATGTGCGAGTCCGTCCCGCGATGAATTGACTGTCACACGAGTTTCTGCTTGTTTCTCCTTCTTCTTTCATCTTTTTTATACAAGTTTTATTCTGTTGCCTTTGTTTGTACGTGAGTACATAGATCATATTTAATTAGTCTGTGTTTCCTATCACATTTCTCTGAAGAGTGGACAGTATTGCGCCCATTATTTTCAGGTTGAATCATACTTTAGTATCCATCTCTGACCTAATAACCTTTTCGCTAGTGGTTTTTGCTTGTGCTCTATGGATCCAATGGTGTTGGATTAAGGTGGGCCTGGAGGTGCTGGTTTGAACCATAAATTGTTATTATGAATATGACCCACTTTTTATTTTAAAAAAATAATGACCTACTAATATTTGGGTCTTAAGGTCATCAGACCCAATAGAAATTTAAGAGACAAGAAGATCAGCCCGAAAGCCTACTTTTGGTTGGCCTCACTTAATTTTGGTCTAGAATTACTTTAAAGAATATCAAGAGAAGAATGCAAGACTCCCCAAAAAAGGAATTAAGATGCAGGAATTCACCCAAAAAGAAAAAAAGAAAAGGCAAGACCCTGACGGGGTTGCAAGGAATTATAGTGAGGTCACTGTACACAAGCGTCTTTTTATTAGAGCCAATCTTTTTAGAAACAAAGTTGGTACTAAATGTTTCTCCCTGTAAAAATTTAAATATTAGTTTATTATACATGAGTGGCTAACCACTTTTGCTAAACCGAGTTAAAGGATTTAAGAAACAGATAAAATTTGAAGAATCAATAACATCTAACACGTAATATGTTCTGTAATTGTTTCGAACAAATTGTCCTCTGCCAAGGAGCCATTTAGATTTGTCTGGATGAGGTGACTCGAGTTTTAGAACTTATACTGGTCAAAGCCTGGGTTGGGGTGAATTTGTTGGATGAAACAAAAAAGAAATAGTATACTGATGTTTTATTATTCCGTTCTGGGTGTACTGAACACCAAAGGAAAGCAAAAGTAACCAAAAAAAAAAAATGCAAGTAGCGGTAATAAAAAGTTGCTCATTCCATTGTAGGTGTACTGACAAGTGACCAGTGACCACAGACGACTTCAATTAAGCAACAAGCCCCTTCCCTCGGAAATGGTTGACATAGAAAGAATCATGAAGTCAGTAAACGAGGGTTCATTCGAAACCTGCAAAACGTTTGGATTGGAGGGGTACAGTAAATTAGTAACAGATGAAGGAGAGAGTCATTGTCCTTTTCCCAAAGGATACAAAACACCTGATGAGCGATCATTACTATATGCACAGCAGAGGGGTAACACAGGTGGATGGAATTCTTGTAACTCATAAATGAGACAGGAGAGAAGCGGTCCATGGGAGTGGAGGCCTAACTACCCTCATTAATCCTTACCTACATGTATATGCATTATAGCTAGCTGTTCCCACCCCACGTCTGAGACTGACTTTATTACTGTATTTGCCAATTTGCATTTGTAGGCAGGCAAACACAACAACAGTACAAATACTTACCCTTCATTCACTCTGGTCCTTCTGAACTTATTGTCTATTTCCAACTTTCACAACATCATGATATTACTAGGCAACAAAGTCGTTTCATGAAGTTGAAGATCATCAAAATTCAAATTCCTAAGATATGTTCATAGATTTAGAATTGTACAACTGTCATTAGTACCAACTCCTGAACTTACAAAAGCAGGGTTAATATGGCAAGAGATTCACATGCTGGGTAATCAACTGAAATTCACAGCAGTGAGTTGCCACTTGGAAGCCACTGATTTTTATACAATCTTTAGAACTAATTCAATGATCTGAGATAACAAATCTTCAAACAGTGGAAATTGGAGACATTTTATCTGAATTCAATGTCGTAAACCAAATTAAGGAGGCCATCTGATACCCCTTCTTCCAACTTGTGTGGAGATAAAAATGGCTTAAAACTCCCTTTCGTGAAATCAAGTTATCCACCTCTAGTCAACTCTAACTGGAATTAGGCTACACTTCCATGATCTGAGGCATCGTCACAGTAATAAGGTGACAACATGCCATCTTTCTTGATAGGTTTGGTTTGGTTCTCCGCGCCCATCTCTTGCAGCATCTTGACCACTCTTCTCATGGCAGGGCGGTTGATCGGAAGAGAACTAGTGCACATGAGGCCGACGTCGAGGACCTTGCATATGTCATCCTTGTAACAGGAATCAAGCCTCGAGTCAATTACATGATCCACTCCTTTCTGGTCCAATGCGGTGTAAACCCACTTCACCAAGTCCTTTTCCCCAAACTCTGGATCAACCGGTCGTCTTCCAGTCACCAACTCAAGTATCACTACACCAAAACTGTATGTGTCGCTCTTCTCGTTCACCCTCAGTGTGTAAGCATATTCTGCACACAACCAAAGAATGCACATTTAATCATCCAAAGCTCTACTTTCAGAGCAAAACTAGAACATGCTAAGTAAGCTAGAGTTTCAGATCAATACAAAGAATTATTATTTAGCCAAGCAAACCACGTTTTGAAAATTTGGCTCCAAATCGTTGTTTCAGCTCACTCATGTCTATTGTGTAAAATCCAAATGCATAAATAACATAAAAGTATAAAACTAACCTGGTGCAATGTATCCACAAGAGCCAGCAATGACAGACATGGATTTGGTTCCTTTCCCGTTGGTTTCAACAACCTTGGCTACACCAAAATCAGCCACCCTTGCACCGAAGTCACCGTCCAACAGGATGTTGTTGGATTTTACATCTCTATGAACGATTGGAGGAACACAGTCATGATGCAGATAAGAGAGACCTTCTGCAGCATCAAGGGCTATCTTATACCTCGTTGGCCAGTCCAACAATCCACCTTTACTGCCATGAAGTGCATCGCTGAGACTACCATTCGGCATGTACTCGTAAACTAGGAGCTTGCAGTCCCTTGTGGTGCAGCAACACCAAAGCTTCACTATGTTTTTGTGCCTAATTTTACCTAAGGTTTCAACTTCTGCATCAAAAGCATTGTCTTGAACCCCACCTTTTTCAATGTCCCCACTCTCCATGTCTTTCTGCATGCCTCCCCACAGCTTCTTTACTGCAACAGCCTCCCCACCACTGAGAACAACCTTGTAAACTTTCCCTGATGCTCCACTTCCTATCACACTATCATCATCAAGGCAGTTCAGAATTTCATCTTCACTGAAACCCAGTTTATGGAATGACATCAATGTGTATTTTGATTTGTCAATGGCTCTTTTTGCCTTTTTAAAGTTCTTGTATTTGAAATAAAACCAGACCACGCCTAGGACAAAAACAACAGTAGCAATAATGAAAATAATTCGGAGCAACCAAGAATACTTTGTTGCCTTAGCTTCATCTCTGCCATTACACAAACTGTTCCAATCCCCACAAATACCAGGATTACCCAAAAAACTTGTCATGTACATGTCTTTAGCTAACATAGGAGGAAGTTCTCCTGAGAGATGATTGTAAGACATATTCAACCTGTTGAGCTTCAAATTCTGCAATTCAGGAGGAACTTCGCCAGAAAATTGATTATTGGAAAGATCAAGAAAGTTTAAAACGGACAAACTCCCAATTTCGTCAGGAATATTTCCACCAATCTCATTATTCGCTAGATTCAGCTCATTGAGTTTCTTCCAGGATCGAATTCCCTTTGGGAGCTCGCCTGAAAATTTATTGTTATGAAGATCAAGAGTCCCAAGCTGCCCCAGATTCACCAGGCTAGAAGGCAATGATCCATTGAACATGTTATTATTACCAGAGAATTCCTCAAGGTTTTCTAGCCATCCAATCTCTTCAGGGATCGGTCCAGTAAAACTGTTATTAGATAGAGTCAACAAGGAGAGGTTCCCAGCACCAGCAATAGTTTTCGCGATAGAACCAGAAAATGAGTTATCAGTGAGCTCAAGCAGATACACACGTGGAAGCCCCCAAAAAGCGGCCGGGACTTCACCAGACAACCGATTGAAACCGAGCCGGACACGCATCAAACTCCGACAACTACCCAGACTCGCCGGGATACCACCGGAAAACGAGTTGTATATCATTAGAAGCTCTTCCAATTTCCCATTGTCACACACAGTCGCCGGAATTTCGCCCCAGAATTGATTGCTCGAAACGTCAAGCCACCTCAAAGGAGCATTCTCTCCGAGATTGCGCGGCAGTTTTCCGGTCAGTTTATTAGCAAACAGCCTAAGTTCATAAAGATTAGGTGAGTCGGCTATGCTCTCCGGCAACTCACCCTCAAATTGATTCTGGTAAAGGTTAAGGCTCTCCAGTGGTAGCTGACACAACTCGTCTGGAATCGTCCCACTCAACTGGTTCATGGCTACGTCGACTAGCCTCAATGCCGTGAGGTTCCCCATTCCCCGAGGCAACTCACCGGACAACGAGTTGTTATACAACTCAATCTGCTTCAAACTCTTCATCTCGATGATGGAACTGGGAATCGAACCATCCAGATTGTTCAACGCCAGGTCTAAATCCCTGAGCTTCTTCAGCCTGCCGAACGATTCAGGAATGACGCCAACCAAGTTACACTGAGTGAGCCACATGACTTCGAGATTCGCCAGGTTGCCGAGCTCCGGAGGGATCCGACCGGGTGAAAACGGGTTATAAGAGAGATTGAGCATCTTGAGGGTGGCAATGTTTCCAAGAGAAGCGGGTATTGTTCCGTCTAGAAGATTGTACACCAGAGCGAGTACCTCGAGCTTCTGAAAGTTGGCAAAGGAATCAGGTATGAGGCCGGAGAAGTTGTTGCCGGTCAAGTCGAGATACCGGAGGTTAGGGAGATCCGATAAGGTGGGGGGAAGAGCACCAGTGAGAAGGTTCTGGGAGAGGTCAACATGGACGAGGCTGCTGCAGAGAGAGATTTCCGAGGGGAGGGCGTCGTTGATGGAGTTATTGTAGAGGATGAGGGTAGTGAGGTTGGTGAGGCTGCAGAGAATGGAAGCGGGGAACGGACCGGCGATATTGGAGCTTGAGAGGTCAAGCTCGGTGACGGAGGTGTTTGTGGGATCACAGGTGACGCCGGACCAGGAGCAGGGGTGGGCGTCACCGTCGTTCCAGGAGGAGAGGGAGGAGTCCGGATCATTCATGGAGAGCTTGAATTTGTAGAGGTAGAGACCATCCTGGTTGAGAGAGACAACAGTGGGAGGTGGAAGAAGAAAGCAGAGCAGCAAGAACAGGGGAAGCATTGTGGCAAAAACAAAGGGAATGAAGAGAGAGGGCGTCGCTCTGGAATAAATTTATGAGCAGAAGAAGCAAGCGAGCGAGAGAGAGAGAGAGAGAGAGAGAGAGAGAGTTTGAGTGATCTTCCTCTAAGTTCTCTGCCACAGAGAGCAAGAAGGTGAGAGAGAATGGAGAACCGGCTACTGAGTACTACTGAGTACTGACTTGGTAATAGCATATAGCAGGTGCCGAGTCCTGAGTTCGAAATTCTCGCTCACGCTAAAAGAGAATGCGGACTTGGGCTGGGAGAAAGAATTTAAAAAAAATACGAAAAAGAAGATTTAAAATTTAAAAGATGCAGTGAGATTTTAATTTTATTTTTACTGTTGTGAACAGCGTCAGGGTCGTTATTTGGTTCAATTAACTTGTAATTATGTTCAAATAACTTATAAATGTAACATTGCTATGATTGAATCATTTTAGACAAAGTAAAGGAATTCTTTTACCAGCACACTACTAAATAAAGGAATTAGATTATGATCACAAGTTTATAACACGAGCGGGACAACTGTGCAAGAAACACGTATACGCACGTATTAAATTAAGGATAGGACAGTGTCCTTGAAAGAAAAAAAAAAAAACGGCTAAAGCATATTTTTACTTTTAAACTATTCTTTAAAAAAATAAATACTTAATATCCTGAGATATTTATTATAATAATTTTACTTTTAAAATAATTAAAGTATAACATTGTTGCATTAATATTAAATACTCTAATATTAATTATTAAAAATGCTAACTCGGATTTAAGTTTGGCAGAAAAGTATCATATATTATTCTAAATGTATTTAAGTTAAAATAAAATTTTATTTTTAAACTATTCTTCAAGAAACATCTAATATCATAAAGTATCTATGTCAAAATAATTTTACTTTTAAAATAATTAAAATGCACCAAAAACATATCATAACAAAAATCTACTTAACATGACATATGTCATTTTTTGTCAAATTTAAATTTTAGTAATCATTTTTAATAGTTAATATTAAAATATTCAATGTCTAGAACAAATATATTATATTTTAATTATTTTAGAGTAAAATTATTTTAAAAAATAATTTAGAACATTGAATACTGCTTGAAGAATAATTTAACAATAAAAATAAATCATAATCCTTAAAAAAAAAAAAAAAAGAGCGGGTACGTTTTTTTCCAGAGCAGAGGGGTACTTGGATCATAACTTTCTCCTTGTGGTCTCTGTACGTTACTTTCTATAAATATGTTTTTTTTTTTTAAATATAAGGTTCACCATGAGTTTCGATTATGTTTTTTAAAAGTATGATAAAAGAGTAAATTAATCCTCTAAATTATAATTTTAAGAGCATTTGAGATAAAAATTATTTTTCATATAATATTTTTTTTGAACTTTTAAAAGAATGTGCAATCTGCTTATATCATTTAAAAAAATTAATTTTAATGGTTAGTTTATTCGAAAATGATAAAAAATGATCTAAAAAATTTAAAACAAAAAGCAAAAAACTTACCCTGAAATTACAGACAATTACTTAAAAAATTATAAACAAAAAGTCAAGAAAATTTTATTAGTCACTTTTTGATTATTTTTGTGGTTTTTTTAAGTTATTTTTTAATCAAATAATAATTAAAATTAATTTTAACTGATGATGATAGAGGTGAGATTACACTTTTTCAAGAGTTTGAGAGAAATATTATACAAAAAATAAGTTTATAATCTCAAACATTTTTGAATTTATAATTTAGAGGTCAAGTTATTCTTTTACACTTTTTAATATTATCTCAATTTAAGTTAATTAATTATGAGAGAAAATATAATGTAAATTTAAAAGTCTTTCATTTCCATAGGGATAAAATTAAACATTTATTTTATTTTAAAACAAAGTTAACAACTAAATTATCTCTTTTTGACTCTGATAAATTATTAATACTTATAAGTAAGTGATAATACTCTCTTGAATGGAAATTAATCAAATTCATGGGATATGTTAACGTTAACGCCAAATGTCATCTTGTTCGAGAAATGCTAAATATTCATAAAATTTAATTTGGAGAATTTTATATTTCACAAACATTTGTATGAAAAAGAATCACATTAGCCAAACGAAGTGTTAGATGTTGAATTTTTTATAATTAAATGAACGTGTAAATAAAATCGATATTATATAGAAGACGATCAACTGATTAAGTGATTGTTTATGCTATTTGATTTTAATGCGTATTATAATTATACTTTGAATTAAATTTTAAGAATGGTTATTAAAAAAAAAAAAAAACACAGTCGTTGGAATTGAGTTCTCAGTGTCTTGTTCATGTCTTTTCAAGACTACATATGAAACTCGCTCCAATGTCACTATGCTCTTAGATAAATGCCTCCATAAATGCGACATGTTCATTTAATTTAGGGATCTCCAAGTCACCCAGCTCATCAATTAACAACAAAATACTCCTTCCATGTTAAAATATTTCACCCTTAATAATTTCTATATTAAATGATAAATTGAAAAATTAAAAATTTATGTTTATAAAAAAATTAAAAATTAAAAATTTATTACTATTTTTTATTGAGAAAGATAAACAATAAGTAAAGAAGAATGCATACTAGTCCCTCATTAATATCAATTATAAGATATTTTTATACAAAATTTTATTTACTAATAAATTTTATTAAATATATTTAACAATTTATTTTTTAAAATAAAAATATAATCTTTTAAAAACACGCATATATTTAAAAGAGAGAGGGGTGAAAATTAAATAGAGAGAAATGTTAATATTAGAATAAGTATATTTAACAAAACATTAATCTTTTCAAAATTTTATATATTTTGAGATGCTGAATTGTCTTCTCTAAAATATTTTATAATTTAAAATGATAGTATTAATGATAAAAAAATGTTTTCCATCCTAAAAGATTAGAGGGTTGGAATATGGATGATAGTAGATAGTAAGTTATTTCCGTCCTTCATATAAAAAAATGACTTTTAAAGTATTTAAATATCAACATAATGCACGGATATATGTTTAGGTGATTAAATAATTTGTATGTAAATTATTTAAACTGCAATAATATGAAAACATAACAGCTATAGATCTGACAATTTTTTTGGTCTCATGCCCCTTTTTTGTACGCGTTTCATGTGATGCTGGGGACTTGGTGCAAGAGAACAGATGGAAAGATTACGAGCAGATTTGAGGAGGACAGAAACAATGAGGACGAGGTAACGTACCTTTTTATTTATGCTGTCTTCCTTGATGTTATTTATAAATCACTCTCCACCACAAATTAAATAAAATAAAATAAAATAAAATCTCATTAATTATGTTTTAAACATTAAACAAGCTTTTAACTTTACTCTATAAAATATAAGAAAATACAATCATCAATTCTTATTAATTTTACTTTTAATCCTTATAGTTTTTAGTATTTTCAATCCTATAATTTTAACAAAATTGGATGATGTTTGTTATTCAATTTCTTATAATTTCAGAGTATTTAGTCCTATATAAAGACTAAAACTACTAAAAAAAATATAAGAGCTAAAAATAAAATTTGATAAAACTATAGATATCAATTATTGTGTTTTTCCTAAAATATACATACTCCTATTTTCCAATTTATAAGTTAGAGTGAGTACTTGTTTTGATACTATTTATAAAACACTTCAGTAATTATTGTATTCATTTTTATCATTTTACTTCTATTAAATACTTAGTAGATTACTAAACAGTAAATATTTTATTTTTAAAGTATGTATATTTAATGAGAGTGAATTTTAAAATTTGTTAAATTTTTAGGTAAAGTTAAAAAAGTTTAAAATTTTTCTTAATTCTGATAAAATATATAACTTGTAAATAAATAAAAAAGTATTTTTTTTTCTCAATAACAAAACAAAGCAAGGCTGCTTAACCTATGGGTTGCCAGCCGAATTTCTCCCTAATGTAAATATCCCTACCAATGTTAGGGACTTCAAAACAAATATGCAAAGAGTCGTCTCCAGCATGAGCCTCTCTGGCGATCTGATCAGCACACAAAGTGGCTTCACGCAGAGCATGTAACACTGCATAATTAATCTTACTGAATAACATAGACTGCACATGGAGAATCTCTTCCATAAAAGGATGATCAGTGATGTACCACTTGCAATTAGACTAATTACTTCCAATGAATCTGAGTATATTTGGACCTTATCAAGATTAAGCATAGTACACACTTGGATGCCTTGTCGTATGGCTGTAAGTTCCGCAATTGTAACAGGGTGTTCGGCAAAAAACAAATGGAGTGTTGCAAGGTATGCTAGAGGCATGAGGTTTCAAAAAAAATGAAAAAACCCAACTTCTAGTCAAACGTGGAACCTGTGCTCCCTTATCATAAGTCACCCAGATGTAAGAATGCAAAGTTAAGATAACTATAGAAAAGTAGAAATACATTAATTAAAGAAAGAGATGGCGGACTATGCCAACCATACAAAAAAAAATAAAGACTAAAACTATATAATAAAGGGAAAACAAAGTAGCAAATGTGAAGTTTCGAAATTTGATTGATAATTTGTTGATGATAATCCTCTTTGATGAGAGAGGGCTCATCTATCTATATATGATCCTAATTTAGTGTCCAAATCCCATGATTGTCACTTTTTTTGATCTTTTGGAAAACTTGAACCTATGACTCGTTTTGCAAAACTATTGAAATTACAACACATTTGAGTAATACACAGCGAAAGCAAGTCACAAGTATTCATAACATCAATTGCATGCATTAAAAATCACAAAATCAGGTTAGAATATGGGCCATGCATCGTGGCATATGGCACAGAGCCACATGCCTGACTTTTTGTGACATGCGTTGCAGCGCACTAGTCCAGATTTTCCCGCTGTCAATTGACAGAAAAAATAATGAACTTTCGACATGTGCCGTTTTCACATATGAAATCCGATCAGAGTGATTCAATGCTCACACAAAGCTTATCTCATAAACTAGCTAATAAGATAGGTTTAAGCACGATCTAATGATCTAATCAAAATTCAAGTAAAAAAGTTACTTTTTAAAAAAATTTTGCGATCTAAGTGTTCAAATTGATCCATTTATCTCATTAAACCACACAAAGCCTTAAACTAAGTCCAAAATAACCTAATACACCTAATTAATCACATTTCATCACATATACACACACACATCAAAATCTGGCCATTTAACAGCCTATTTTCACATTTC